TCCTTGGGCAAGACACTGAACCCTAAGCTGCTCCCGATGGGCAGGCCAGCGCCTTGCATGGCAGATCCGTCGTCAGTGCATGTCAGTGCATGTAAATTAAGGTAGAAAAACGCTAGAAAAAGTTTAGTCCATTTACCATTAAACATTCCAATTATTATTCATTAAACGTTCTATATGTAACTTTCAGAAAACCGTTAATAGTGACACCAGTGGCTGTAAAGTGAACTGCAGTCAGTGTCAAATTGCCGGCGTCATCCTTTTTGCGATTTAACATATCCACCCAGATAGTATTTTGCTAAAAATAATATTAGCCAGCCGCCAAGGTAAACTGAAAACAAGAAGCTAGACAGTTAAGTCAGATTATCCCCCGGGCGTCTGGATAAATTAGCTGATGTTATCTACTCAAGACAGTGTTTTGCTACGTAAGCTAGCTAGCAATTTGTCCATGTTAGCAAAGGAAGAAAATATTTCAGGAAAAGGAAAGAGAAAGCAAAGGAATGAAGGGAAAGGAGGTAGGAAAAATGTGGCAGCAGAATGGATTAAAGGAGGGTCATTGTTGACATAAACGAGACAGGAAAAGACAGAGGGCAAGGAGGAAAGGAAGTGTCAAATCCCAAGAAAAACAGAAGGAAGGAAGGTGTGCATCACCATGTCTGCCAGCGCTCTGAGCAGATCGATGAACGCGCCGGAACTTTACACCTCTACATCAGCATAAACGGCAGCATGTTGTGCTGCAGCTCACCTCCATCAGAACCAAACAAAATGCATGTCCTCATAAACCCCGGAGCTTCCTTTATGAGCGCTGCCATATACTTCACCCAGAGAGACAGCCTCGTCATAACACTGGCTGAGTTAGTGCCCCTGAAAATACTCAGGTCTTCCACGGTGATTTACAGAACAGAAATGTGTCTGGAAAAGATCCAGCACTACAGCAGCCTTTTAAAGACCCTGACCTTCCCAATGAAGACAGAGAGAGAGGCTAAATAGTGGTGATATTGGGTCTCAGCAGGATTTTACAGCAACTGCAGCTAAAGGGAGACAGAGGGGAGACAACGCAATGAATGGCTAACGATATGGAAAATTGAGACACTACGATGATTAAAAAGTCTCTTAACGGCACCTGCTGCAATGAAAAGCCCTCAGCTTTTTTTGGTTTTGTTCCATGGCCAATAGTTTGAGTTCATTTACAGTTCAGCAGCAGGGTGGTGGGTGGCTCGAGCTGATTAAAGGCCTTTCTAAGCATATATACAGTACATTCAGTGTGCTTGGAAAACATTCTAATCAGCTAAGAGCCTGCAGTATATACATACACTGACTTACCAGTTTATTATACAAATATACCTCTGTGGTCTAATTCAATCCAATGCAACAACCCTACAGTAAATCCTTCCTTTATGAAGCCTTGTTGTACTGGATTGCATGCTATATGTTGCTATACAAGGCAACTTAAAGCTGCAGTAGGTAACTTACTAGGTAAAAAAATGGTTCTAAACAACCAATCAGAGCCAAGAAAAATAGTAAGACACCCTAGGTTAGTGGCTTGAAAATAATTGATCATCTCAGATGCTGAACCTGGTAATGAGACTAAACAATCAACTTTTGATCTTTCTAGATAGATATAAGGATCTGTCCAGTGTGTATTCAGTGTATTTTACCCTTTCAGTGCCTTGTTTTGGTGTTATGGCCCATAGCTTTACTGTTTTGACTCACTCTCACCACTCTCATTAACCGTCATTTCCAGCAGCAGCAGGCAGGTCTCATTTCAGGGTTGAAAAAGCTTCCTGATCAACCCTGCCTCATAAACAGCGACAGACACGGTTCGAAACTACCTTGCTGACATAGGGTGGACATTTTTTAGTTAGGCTTAAGAGAAGATATTTTCTTTGTCAGGAGTGCGAGACAAAACTGAGCTAAAGACAGTGAATACTGGACTAAAATTCATCAGGTGGACACAAAGACTTAATGCTTAAGAGCTAAAGAGCTAATATTGCTCTGTGTGTACTGGTTGTTTAAATATGAAGTTGTTTGCTAACACCATTAACCATACTCGCTGTATAAGATGATATGTCAGTGTTGTGTTTTGGCTTTATCCTTAACCTCCTCATTCCCTCTCACATCATGCTGGATGAGAAACTTCATGTTGACTCCTCTTCTGTCTCTTTTCCCACCTGGGGCCTGAAAATCAATGCCAGATTGAGAAGAGTGATGAAGCAGGACAGCTTTCAGGCATCAGACTCCGATTTATTTTTGTCTGTCCTCATTTCTCTGCTCAGGATGGAGGCATCGGCAGAGAAAGAGAAGAATGGCCATCTGAATCCTGCCTTCCACCTGAAGGTGGTCGGACCAATCAACAAAGCTAGCGGCCACAAGGGGGTGAGTGGTGTGTGTGTGTGTGTGTGTGTGGTGTGTTGTGTGGTGTGGTGTGTATGTGTGACTGCGTACATACAAGGAAAGAAAAAACGGAATAACAATGTGATAAAGAGCGGTGACTGTTTTCTCTTGCTGTATTTTAGTGAATAATTGGACCATCCATGTTGGGGTTGACTTCATATTTAAATGGCTCATTTTCAGCAGTTAGTTTTATATTGTGTGACCACTTGGATCGCCTCCCACCACATCATGAACAACTGTCTCACTTAGTGCCTTCGCATCATTTCATCATTGCTCGTTATTCTCCCTCGTTTTTAATTAGCTTTATTTATTGGAATTTGGGTGAGCAGCTCCAGGTCAGGGTAATTTGTCATTGGGCAGGCAAAAGTGATACAACAAGAACAAGAAGGGAGACAAAACAAAAATGGGGAAGGAAAAGAAGAGGCACCAATTGGTAACTTATTATTATTAATATTAATAATTAATAATAATAATAATAATAATAATAATAATAATAATAATAATAATAATAAATATTATTCATATAGCATCTTTTATACACAAAATGCCAATGGTATTTACATTAACAGTAACGGCTACAATTGATGACTAATGATGAGCATTCAAAAAATATATAAAACTGAGAGCTATCACTATTAAGCTCCAGGAAGTGATTGCAGTTAGAATTATATTAATAATACGTGAAAAACCTATTACGATGAATTGAGAAAAGGCACTGCCCTGAATTAATGGCTAGTAATTAAGAAAACTTTTCAGAAGTATTAGAAGTATTTCTCTAACATTAAATCATCTCTAACAATTCATCAGTAAAGTTGAAAAAATAATGAAAAGTAGTGGACCCTGGAAAGAGCCTTGAGGCGCTCCATAAGGAATGTTGTTATGAGAAGCTTTGAATTCAGAAAAAAATCTGATAGTTGAGACTGAAACAAGCATCAGATCCATTTTCTAATCTATCAATTAGAACAGTGGTCCTAAACCTGCGGGTCGAGACCTCCATAGGGGTTGCGAGATCATTTCTGGGGGTCACCAAATGGTTGTGGAGAATAAAATAAAATAACATACTGTGGCAAGCAGCACGTAATGAGCAACTGGAAGTAGTTCTCAGTGATGTTATCCCTTAAATGACATTGAACACAGTGGACAAGAACTCAAAAACAAAATAACCAACCTGATTTCTGGGAGGTTGTGACTAAAAGGTAAAGAACCACTGAATTAGAATGTTGTGATCAAACAATATCAGAGGCTATGCTGAGGTCCAAACAATTCTCCATTCTCAGGTTGTTCCATTCTACTTCCACCAGAACAGTTTCAGTTCTGATTTTCTTTGTTCTGATTCTAGCTTCCTCACACCAGCAAAGAGGTCCTGCCTCTTAGACCGGGCCCTGCACCCAATGGCACCCAGCCAGTCAACATTGTGCGACCTCTGAGACCCGCCCCATCTCCCCAGAGTGGTCCCCGGGACATCAAGGTGGTCCGCCCACCTCTGCCAGCTGGAAAGCCCCCAACAGCTCCGCCTAAATCTGCCCCTACCCAACAGAGACTCAGCCCGCCCAAGAAACCTCTGCCCCTGAACCCCACACGATCTCCACTGGTAAGATCCTTTTTGACCCTCTTCTGAACTGTAAGGGAATATAATTTTAACTGTAACCTTAAAGTCATACCACAGAATGTAAAAGCCAGAATGGACTTGAGGAATGTGGCGCACCATCCAGGCAGGGAGCCACAAACGATATAAACTTTAGGAAGGCAGAAACCAATACTTACCTCTTTTCACATTAAGCAAGGGACAGCAATTTGATCTGATAATAACGTGTCTCGGAATGTCACTACTGTATAGTCATCTCCATTTAAAATGTAACCCCGTGGTTTAATGTGAGAAAAACAAGCACAGTCTTATTCCCATAATTCTAGTCACCAACAGGGCATTAACGCCAGCTGCCAGGCAACCAGACAGTTGTTAAATAATTCCTCATCTTAACCATATTTTCCAATAGCTTCATAAAACTAAACTAAACTTCTGTGAGCTCGGGTATTGCCACTCTGGAATTGATTCAGCCAGGTCAGATTCATACTAGACAAATCAGAGCCTATTTAGAGGATGACTTAAGCCCCATTCAGACAGGATTAACATTACAGGGGAAAGTGGTGACAGGTGACAATTTAGTGTTTTACAGATATTTGTCAGGATTTGTGCTATCCAGCTTGACCAGGACAATCCCGGTCAAACAAGGACCTCAGGTCACCATACCCCAGGGGAGTGTGGGAGAAGTGGAGGGTGTCCTCGGAGAGAGAGACGTGCGGCAAGGATACTATGTGAGTTGAAAGGGACAGGTGTAAAACAAGAGCAAGTTGGAGTGGCAGCAGTGATACACAGCTCACCAAGCTTATTAAAGTGCTTTTGCGATTTGCCTCAAAAACGCTCTCCTTCAGTCATTACTCTTACTGAACACACGATACACATATTTTTACAAAGGAAAAAGACACTCCTTGGTAAGATTAAACATCCTGTTTACGAGGAAACGTGTGGAGGGGCGCAGATGTGCCAGTTTAGTCTGAGGTGGGACCACAGTGTCTTCTTCATATTGCTCCTGACTGCAGCTAAATGCAGAATGTGTGAATGTAATTGTTGTGAATGGTAATTTTAGAGCTGGTTGCGGGGCCGGCTGTGGGGCCTTCAGAGCGTAGAGCGGGTCGTCCCCAATCGGCAAGGTTGTTGGTTCGATCCCCGGGGCTCCCTTCCTTGGCATGTGCTCGGAAGTATCCTTGGGCAAAGACTGAACCCCAAATTGCCTTCCCGATGCATTAGCATCAGTGCTGTGATGTGTTATTCAATTTCAATTCAATTCAATTCAATTTTATTTGTATTAAGCGCCAATTCATAACAGAAGTTATCTCAGGACACTTTTTCAAATAGCTTTTTCGAGCAGGTCTAGACCCGAACTCCTTATAAATTTACAGAGACCCAAACAGTACCACCATGAGCAAGCACTTGGCACGGGGGGCAAGGATTAAAACTGGGCTTTTAACGGGCAGGAACCATCGGACAGACCTTCGGCTCTTAGGTGGGTGGTCATCTGGCTTGGACCAGTTGGGGGGAGAATAGAGAGAGGAGGAGAGGAGAGGACAGAGAAGAGACAGGGGAGAGAGGGACAAGGAGACAACAGATGTACAGCAAACAGAAGGCAACATAATTAACAGTAGATGATGATGAAGATCATGGAAAAAGACGGGTGACGCGGGCGACACGCAGAAACGGGACGGGGGACAGGCGAGCAGCGGACAACAGCAACCGCAGCAAGACAATTGGTTACAACAACTAATAATATAACGTTAATATCAGTGATAGTTAGGGGGGCAATTGGCCAGTCTGCAGGACCCATGGCACGGAGGGCTCCACCAGGATCCATGAGAACCCTGGCAGGATGATAGCACAAGAACTTCCGGGGGAAGACAGTTGAAGTTGTACATGCATATGGGACATGAATGGAGCAGAAAAGGGTGAGGGAGGGAAAGAGGGAGGAAGCTCAGTGACAACCATGGGGAAATCCCCCGTATGAATTTGTTAGTTTCTGTTCGGATGCCGACTTGCCAATCGCTGTGTGACATAATGTGTGTGAAAGGGTGAATGTGGCACGTAGTGTCGGAAGACTAGAAAGGCGCTATACAAGTACAGGTCCATTTACCATTACCATTTACCATTTACCAAATACACAGAGCTAATGAGAGAACTGTGAGAGTACTTTGTAGATGAATTGCTTGAGATTTCTTCTGAACCCAGAAGAAATAATGAATAAAACCGCAGTATGTTTCTTATCTGATTGCTTTCTTATTGATTTATCCTCCAAAACGGCTCTCATCACTGCGTCTCTGTGAAGTGTAAAATGCCTTTAAATTAGATCAACTTTTGAATGTCATATTGCTTTTTTCTTGTTTGTGTCGAAATAACCAATATTTCATGCAAGTGTACTTTGTGATCTGATCTCAGAGCTGTGCTGTAGTGGGAATTTTAATCTGCTATCTGTGTAAAGTGGGACAGAAGTTCCTTTTATCAGCCATCTGAACAGATACCAGAGACAACCTGAATCCAGTCCAGTACAGAACCTGGAATGGAGTTGTCCTCCCTGCTGTGTTCATCTGTGTTGTGTTCCATATTGGCCTTTTTGATAACCCCCTCTTTTCCCTCTTTGCTTTCTAAACGTTTCTTTCTACGTTGTATATTTGTATTCGACAGCAGTTTGCAAAATAATACTAATTGTTGGTTACGAGGGCTGTAATCTGGTTGCCATGTCTCAGTATGCATCTGAATGTTGAATAATCGAAAAGTCAATCAATATTTCTGCTTGTTCTCTTTCAGTTAGTGTCTGAGCTGCAGCCCAGACCTTCCCCTTTCCCTCCTCAGAGGCCTCTCCCCCTCAGCCCAGCCAGAGGAGCCTCCCCCACGGTGAGTCCAGCCCGGACCCAGGTCTCCAAATCCTCGCCAGGCCTTCTGGTCATGATGCCTCCGGCAGTGGGACCAAAACCCGTGGGCAAAGTCTCAGCCATCCCCCCTCTCAGAGCTCTCAGGTGGGCAAACACACACAGTACTGTAGCGTAGTGTATTTTCAGGTGGGTAAGGTCGCTTTCACTAATTGAAAATCAAATGTAGGTCAACTTGAAACGAGCTAATAATTGAACTACAACCGTTGTAATGATGGCAGAAAGTTCACAACTCAACTCAGCCACACAGAGAGTGACTTGAACTCTGAAACAATATAAACATTCAACAATGCCGAATCATAACAGGAGCTACATTGGCTACTGGGGACCGGCTAACTACAGCCGCTAATGAGCCGCCTCCAATTCCAGCCTCTCATCCAGCATGGGACAAAAACTAGTTATTACATGTACCATTATCACTAAAGGAGCCAGAGGAATAGTGAAACATTTAACACAGAGCAGAGAGAGAGAGAGAGAGGAGCTAACTGCTAAGCTTAAGCACTGTAGCTAGCAAGACTGAATAGCTGTAAATGAAGTTGCTAAAAGAGAGAGCTGTGAGTGCTTGAGCAGAACTAATGTATGATACATGTATAGCAGGTAATTATCCAATGGCAGCAGCCACTGGCTAGTTCATGGCTGTGGTTCTGGTGACAAGGCGCATGTAGCCGTTTTTGTTCCTCTGTATATATCTGAGCAGTGAAAAGTGCCTCACTTAAGACTCATCTTGTTAACTACCAGCGGGCAGTCTACAAGCAAGAATAAGTTTGTTCAGACTGAAGTTAGAGCTGTCAGCCATTGGTGGAGTACTGTTTTGAAGCATCAAATGTGGCGTTACTGTCGATGTACACTACTATAGAAAGTGCTATTTTGTTTCAGTTGCATTCATTTTTATGTGGAGTATTTCCGTTTGAATGGATCTCCTAAGCTAACTGTTTGATATGATGACATGATTTGATACACACACACAGTGAGAGCGGTGTACCGGCATTATCTCCTCCACCTACTCAGTGCAGCTGTACTGTACGTACTGTATTGAATAACTTGCTTTACAGTTCTATGCACTGCATGTGGAAACCCCATCACAGCACCTTCTAAGGTTCACTCTGACAGTGTGTAACTACTCTGACTTTAACTTGACCTCAACTTTTTGTTTCATGATGTTATCTAAAAGATATATAATGGAAAAATCATGTTCGTAAAGCAGCTATTGTATGCTGAGAAGGCCTTTTATCACCCAGCGATAAAAGGCTTTATTTTTAAGAAATACTGCCTCTCTTTACATTTCATGCTGTTTTTCTGTTCATGGTGGGCGTGAGCACATAAACACTCCCAAGTTTACAAACCATGCAATCCACTGACTCCGGTCCTCATCAGCAATCAATTCTCAGTTTTTATAAGTGATAGCCCCCCCCGTCTAAAGCTTTGTACTCACTTTCTTCAGATGCAGAGTCATGATTTTAGTTGGGTGCAGTTTATCTGTGAATGTAGTAAAAGTCGGGCAGGGAAACCTCAAGGCGGTTGTTCCTCAGGTTTTACGGTTCCTCCGCTCCTCTAATGTAGCAGATGGATCAGAATGTCTCCACATCTGGTTCTCCCTGGCAGTACTGAGATCTGAGCCCACATTAGGTTTCACGCCTTACACCAGCTGCTGGTGTAAGTGTAAGAGCAGGAGCAGCATGCATTAGACTTTACAAATCCCTAGAGGAACGTGTGTTTTTGTTCTCGAAGTAGGGTTCAGATGCACAAGGAAAGCATAGAACAGGTTCAGAATCAATATCTTTGGAGCACACTCACTGATGCCTGCTTTTTGATAGCTGTTCTTACGATAATGGATAGTTTTGTGCCAAGACATTTCTGCATGATTTTAATCCCATTACAGTTGGAACGGCACTCACATCATGCTCTGTTCTTGGAAATAAAAACATTCATACAGGTAATCTCATCAGAACAGAATTGGATACTTGATTCTCATGCTTAGATTTTCCTGTGTTACCCTATTGTCAGAAAACCTCCACCCTAACTAACAATTTGTAAACCTGTCTCTCAATACTTCCTGACTTCACTTCCTGGATCCAAGCCCATTGGTTCCTACTGAAGACGTAAAAAAAAAAACACAGGTAGCAAAAATACCAATAATAATAATAATAATAATAATAATAATAATAATAATGCCATGGCTAACACGCCAAACTGCGGCCCCCCAATTTCGAGTTTATATCTTGTAATTATAGAACCAGCCTTGATTAATAAAATATAAGCCACTTAGTCAGTTAAAGCCGTAACCTAGCAATCTCTGGTTTTTTTCCTTCTCTTCCAGACCCGGTCCCAGGTGCAACCCAAACACAGCCTCGCCTCCGCAACGAAAATGGACCTTGTTCCCTGCCCCCCCACCTCCGAGGAGGGCAGCAGCTGACAGCTCTGATTGCACTAAAAGAGACTTTGGCTAGGTGGGATGGCTGTCGCAACAGACCATAAGAGGCGACACAAAAGTAAAACCGGAGAAGTAATAAGAACAAACCGGGCTCGCACCAGTTCAGAATCAAAATGAAACTTACCCACCCACCCCGACTCCTCCCCTCAATCCCGCCCCCCTCGCCCTCCTCCTCCCAGCGCGCTAACACTAACCCAACGACGCGGTTTTGCACGGAGGCCTTGCAGACTGAGACAAGTGTTATCGCTGGGGGACGGTCACATTTGCCAAATAAATTTTTTTAGGATTATCGTTTGTGTTTTTTTAATCTGTTAATGTCGTCTGCGTTTTAAAAAAAATAAGCATTTTGTAATAATCGTCGTTTTGTTTACAGTTTGTCATGTTTTATGATTTGTGTTATGTGCCAAAGAGGTCTCTTCATACCTGGGGTGTGTCCCGAATGCTTGAAAATCTCCTTAAGTCACATTAAGTTTACCACAAAGTCAACTCCTCCATCTCTTTTAGGTTTTATAATTTATTTTTATTGTATGAGGAATGTCGAAAAATACAAATCTGGAGATACAAGAGGCCTACCAGGAGGAAGGAGAGCCAATCATACAGCAGCTTCTTTTCAACACTGTTTACATGGTGGAGGATTTGATGGATGCTTGTAAGGGGCTTGCAGGACACACCCCGGTCGTCCACTCATGTTGATTTGAATGTCTTTTGCTGTGTGTTATGACTTTTAAATTGTTACATAAAATATTTGTACAAAACTATCATCAAGTTTCTTTCCTCCTGTGTTTTTTTGTCATTCCAGCTTGAACTGTATTTAATTGAAATTTCTATGCACTTATGTGACACCGTGGATGCATATGAATGAGCTACTGAAAGTCAGGTACTTTCTTGAATCTGTCAGGCAATCACGAGGCCAAAGACTTTTCAAAATAAGACAAGTTAATCATTTAGACATTATGACTGGATAATGTGTATTGTCTGTAGTATGATGCCTTCTGTTTCTCTGAAGGAGCTTCAATAAGTCTAAGAACATAGCCCTGATGATGTCGTAGTGATGTCATCAGGGTTACCTCAGTTTGGGTTTGCAGAATGCACATTTATAACCAGAAACCTGTTAGACACTGAACTGTGGGAATGGAGTTTGAAATGTGTGGGTGTTTATGAAGCACAGAGGGTTTCAAAAGATACTATAAGGTGCAATATGGGAAATGTAGGATCCAGTGTTTTTGGAGCTTGCCCCCTACAATACGATGGACTAAAAGTCAGCATATCTCAGTTACTGCTGCTTCGATTTTGACCATTCTTTTGTGTGTTGTGTTAGCGAGTTTGTTGAATGAACAACAAACTTGACATTAGAAGTTTCTCTTTAAAGCTGCAGTAGGTAACTTGGGGGAAAGTGGAAATCTCAATCTAACTTTTTTAAACATGCATTAGCACTCAGCTTCAAGTGATTCAAGTGACCGACACTCAAGTCGGTGTCGGATGAGTCTAAAGATGAAAAAAATCTGTTCGAAAGTTCAAAAGAAGCTACCAGACCTCTGCAGCATGCTGCTCATCTCTGCTGGAGGTTAGCAACTCATTGCTACATTAGCTGCTACTAGCGTAACACACACAAATCTCTCCGATGGTTGAGTTTGTAATGTAGGTGTCAGGTTTTGACAAGGAAGAGAAATGCGTGGAATAAAAAAAAGAGTTCCTTATAGGGGAAGAATTGTACCTGCCCTGAAAACAACGCCAGAAAAAATAAAGTTAAAGGTGACCCTTTTGACCTCCGGATTACACACATTTTTTGTATGTTTTTAATGCACAGCACCCAGCTGTTCCGAGAGTTTTCACTCTGTAAGGTTCTTCTTGTCCCATTGGTCCCACCAGTGGACAAAAAAGGTTTGAACCAGGTCCTGTGGTTTAAGAACTGTCTCTTTTTATTCCAGCCTGCTGCCTCACGACAACTGTATGATGAATGGATGTATAAGAGACTGCTGTGGGATTGAAGGCTGACAAATGCCTCCTTTTAAATCTGTCCTCCTTCTTGTCTTAGTGCCAGTGTTCCTTTTGAAAACAAAGACTCATTTCTTCCCACAGTGGTGTCGTGATGATCTTATAGTTCCTGGCTGATGAGCAAGTATGAAGGCTTTACATCATGGGTAGTCTCCACTCTCACCTGCTCTTAATGGATTCCACTCTGTTGGAAATGAGATATCTGCGAGAGGCGGCTCTCTCCTCCCTGGAGACTAATGCGTTCGGCGAGTCCACGGTTCGAGTGGAACGCTATCGGACAGCGAGGAGGAATGGCCTCGTGGGGAGATATATCGATGTAGACGTTTTCCTAGCCCATTACCAGGGCGCCCGGTGCCCAAACAAACCTGTGGGGTGGATTCCGCGCCAGACAGCAGACGTGAGCTAAATGAAAAGAGCTGAGTTTTTCCAGCTCCACTATCTATAAATCACGCTCTGTGCAGCCACAGGACTGAAGGAGGTGAATAAATACGCTAATGTCTTTCCTCAGGCTAGCCCTCAGTAGGTGAGCCTCATAAATGAGGTGTGGGGTTTATAAAAACAGCAGCCAGACAGGTTTTGTTGCCTCTACAGTGCATTCAGGCTAACGGCAATAGAGAGCCCAAGTCCTGATGGGACATCCAAGCTAGCCGCTGCTCCGCTAGCCATTTTTTTTCATTAGGTTTTTCATTGTTTCCTTTATAGACATCCAAAAAGTAAAAAAGAAATAGAATAAATACATTTAACTAAAACCACAAAAAAACAGCAGCAGGTACAAATAAAAACCACTAGCATTTTATTGGAATAATAAAGAGTTTCTACATGATTACCTACAGGACCGCACTGACTTTTAAAATAACCTGCCTTGTGATTTTAACAATGAACAACCTTTAATTGAGCATATTCACCAAGCAATGTTTCTTATTGCTTTTAAAAATGACTGATATTAGCAGTGTACCAATACCAAAAGTACCACAACAGTTCTGTCCGAGACCGATGTGCCAGACTCATCAGCACGTACAGCACGTACAGCACGCAACACTGACTAGAACCGCTGCCAGTCACGTTGTTACAGTCTTACCTGGAAAGCCTTTTTGGACCACAGTAAGTAAATTCACTTGAGAGATATTTTTTTTAATGACAAGTTGTGTTCATTGTTTTCTTGTGTCATATTTATGATCATTTGACTGATTATATTATATATAATATATATTATATTATATTTTGTACTTTAACACATCCTGAAGTTTGCCATGTCAGACATGTTCAGTATAAGAGTCATTCTCAAGAAAAACAGAAGAAGGTATTTCTTCAGCCCCTCCACAGCAATATTGGTGACAATAAGGGCCATGTGAAATTTTTATTTGAGTTCTGAGTTTAATAGCATTTAAATGATTTATGGTCACAGCATCAAACAAAAGTCAAAACTAGTACAGACTTATCCCTCTTTTTTGCCACAAGGCTGTAGCCTGCAGTGTCACCACCTCTGAGCGGTCGACCCAAGGCTGAGCTGGACTGACACATCAGAGTGCAGTTGCCTTAGATGCCTCCGACTACCCTTCAGCTAATGCACTGAACTCACACGAACACACGCACGCAGCCAGACAACATCCAGCAAGTTATTAAAACTGCTGGGACCTGATTTGAAAGCACAAGCCCAGTAAGAACCCTGTAGTAACAGAAAAATGAAAAAGCCAGAGAAATATCTGGGTATCAGTTATCAGTTCAGAACTGAAAATAACACTTTATTTGAAAGGAAAGGTTTGACTTTTTGGGAATATTGATACAGTTCTCATGTCTATACTGTAAAGATGAAACTATAGCTAGCAGTGGGTTGTCTTGGCTTAGCATTAGGACAAGTAGCTGCCTGTAGTTGCCTTCAAAAGCACAATACATCTGAAAATGCTCCAAAAAAATTTTTAACATATGAATTAGTGAGCTGGAGCTGTGCTGGTAGGCTGATTTTGTTCCAGTCTTTTGAATCTTTGTGCTAAACTAAGCTAAGCTAGCTGGCTTGAAGCTTCATAGTTACAGAAATAAGAATGATGTCAATCTTCTCATCTAACTTCTTTCAAGAAACCAAATAGGCTTAGCATATTTCCCAACCTTTTTAAAAAAAATATTCCTTAATTGTAAAATTGGGACAATAAATTCAGTTGTTGTGCAAAGCTAAAACGGCCGCTGGCTTGTAGCTTTATATTTACGGTAAGTGTAAGTGTGACAGTGGTATCAATCTTCTCGTCTAACTTTTGTCAAAAAACCAAATAGACAAATAGCATATTTCCCAAAAATGAGGACAATAAATTCAGGGCTAGCTAGCTTTGAGGTAATGTCCTATAATGTATTTTATCTGGGAATTTGGGGGTCATTGAAAACACTGAAAGTTTATACACTCTACATTTAAAAATGTAGTGGCTATTTTAAAGGCTCATTCCAGTATGTTTTTAGACTCATTTTAGACCAAAAGGAATTATTTAACGTACACAGTTTTGCTCATAGTAGCGTGGTTACGGCTTTGAAAACTGCATTTAGATCCTAAAAGGGACCTTTACAGATACCATAACTACCCAGTAGCCTCCGTACCTTTAAATGGCTGCCCACATGTTGTTCACTCTTTACTGCTGGTCCTATTCACAGGAAACATTTTCACATTTTTGTAAAATCCAAATAACTGAAAAATGTTTACTTTAATTCAGACTGTATTTTTGGTGTTTAAAAAAGGGGGGCCTCAGTGTGTCTAAAGTACACCGGTGGAAATATCTTTTACAGTAACTGGAGCGAACTGGAATCGTAGCCCTAGCGGCCACGGAAGACATTGCACTAAAAGATTGACGAGAGCTCGTGGAGGTAAGGAGGAAGTAGTCACATTGTATGAACAAACAGCAGTTCATCTACTGTCTGTGTCTACTGTCCGTGTATACTGTCTACTGTCTACTGTCCGTGTCTACTGACCGTGCTAACTGGTTCAGGTGCAGCTCATTAGGGCTGCAGTCACAGGAGAGTGCCCCACCTCCCGACACTACGGTGAGATCAATGTGTTTTACTACTTAACCTGCATTACATTTAAAGCTATGGAAAGGCGACATAACTTCTATACTTTACGTAAATTAATAACAGCCACACATTTCTTAAATTCGGCGTACATTTATAAAATGATTATTTCGAAAGGATTTCGAAAGTTCAGTTGTCCGACAAATAATTAAATGTGTTTTATGTTAATTGACACATTTTCAAACGGAGTTTGGTTGAGTTGACGCTCACAAACTTCTCTTACCGTGCGACCAGGTTGAGAAAGTTAGTGTCCAGTGTCCAGTGTATTTTTTTAGCGGAGTTTGGTTTGTGTTATCATTTAAAAACAACTAAGGATGAAGCACTATTTCTATTTTTTCATACTTTTCAATAAAAGTGCTACTGAATTATCAATAAGCAGAAAAATACTTTGTACAGTATATCATAACAAATATGTTTTAGGTATTGGTGTGTGTATCGTTTCATTTACATAATGTTTGGGGGCTTCACAATTAATTGAAATAGCGTAATTGCAATATTCAAATTATAAGAAGTTGTCATTTTTTGATAAAGATCAAATGTGTGTCTGTATTCCTGCAGAGATCCCCTGGCCCACAAGATGTAAAGAAACATGCTTGTTTCATACAGACCTCAACAAATGTGACATCATCACGATTTTAATAGTTTTAGTTTTCAGTGAAAATTCAAATTGTTGTGCAAAAATGAGCATTCCCACTAGCCACGAATCATATCTATCGATCTAAATAATCACAATATGCAGAGGCACACACAAAGCCATTGAAACCATCTTATTTATGTCAAATAAATGATGAAAGAGGGGTTAGAGAATGTAAACTGTATATTATTACTCGCTCAGACAGGCTCCTCTCTTCCCATTCCAACATCAGACCGCTGTGCAGCTATGAGGGCGTTTGTAAGCCGGAGACAAGCCAGGCAGCTTCTGCACAACAAGTTTGTGGTGGTTCTTGGTGGATCAGGTGAGAGACGTGAACAAGAAATTTGACATTAAAGTAAATTTCTACTCTGTCAGAGCCTAAAGTTATAGGAATTTTTGCTTTAAAAAAATCTTTATACTAAAAGGTTTCCTGAACTATTTTATGATTAAATTCTTGAACAGAGAGAAGGTGCCAGCTTGGATTCAATATCCCATGTAGCCTACAGTATTTACCAGACAGAATCTTACCACTTCACATCTTAGCAGCTATCTACAACGTAGAAATTCCCCACTGCTCTGTTCCTTTTCAAGTTCTTATTTTTCATCGAAATTGATTGACATCTTTGAGTTTTTTCTGCTACTTGATGCGAGTAAAGCCTGTTGTGTTTGTTCTTTGATTTCAGTGCAGCGCTCCATGTACAAAGACCTGGTTCTGCTGCTTCAGAGGGATCAGTACTTGACTCTTTCTCAGCTTAAGTCCAAAGTAAATCTTTCCACAAGCTTTCTCATTCACACTCTATTGTACCTGTAGAACACACTTAAGAACCTGTCTCAACACACATCTTTTTGTTGACTTCAAAGCCTTCAGGAACAGGTTTTAATATTGTGGCATACCTAGTGATATAGTGGCAATTAAGGTGGAGGATAAATTGTCCTCAGGGTGGTGATCATAAGGCAAATAGTTACCAATATGAACAAAAACAGTGTTAATTCTTGCTTTTTCTACCTTTTTAAATAGATGCCTATGTGTTTAGAGTTGTTTTATATCGTCTATTGCAGGGTTCTCAAGATATATCTGAGGGGTTGCGAGATGATTAACAGGCGGTGTAAACATGGTGAAAGACATTTGTCCATAATGAGGCTTATCACATTAGTGTTAAAACTAATATCAACCCTAAAAACAAGGCTCTTCATTCTCATTTGTAAGAGTATTTTATGGGGCTGCACAATTAATCGAAATATTATCAAATCATTGCAATATGGCAAAGTGCAATATGCAAATCTCAAAAGCTGCAGTTTTTTGTTAAAGGTTAAATGTGTGACAAACAGCATTATACTTCATAATAAAGTATTTGGATGTGATGTCCTGGATTACAAATCTTGTCCAGATTTAAGAAAACATGTTTGTTTGGTACAGACCCCAACAAATGTCACATCATCAGGATTTTAATAGTTTTTGTCTCTGAAATTTATAATGGTGATCATTCCCACACTAATTGTGAATCCTATCACAATCGCAATATCTGTCAAAATAATCACAATATGATGTTTTTACCATTTGGTGCAGCCTTATATTCTTTATTGTTAACAGCTGAATAAGAATCCACAAGCTCTTCTACAAATTGATATAATTCAGTAACTCTTTGTAACCTGGACACAAAAATGTAGTTATACTACACGGATTAACTACTAAAATTACTCATCAAACCATCCTCCTCCTCAGACTAACAATGTAAAAACGATAATTTTAATAAGTGTGTCTGGTAGTGATGAACCTACAGAGAATTAGCATCTGAATCTGCAGCTCCCCTCCCCTCTGTCCCGGCCACAACTCACTGTTGCAGTGCTGTTTTCAGAGAAAAAGCTCTATAAACCCACTGTAAACTATCTGCTCAGACAGACACAGTGAGAGCTGGTGAACACAGTAGAGCATTTAGCAGCTAAAGAAACAGATATTTTTCTCGGGAGTTGGTGGAGACCAAAAACAGCTAAAAGCCAAGGAATATTGGTCTTATATTCATCAGGTGGACACAAACACAACTCCAAATGAATGCTAATGTCGCTCTGTAACTGCTGGATGTCTAAATTAGCAACAATTTGCTAACAAGTTCACCAAAATAACTTTAATAACAATATGTCAATGTTCTTGTTCATTTTTCATTCATTATTTCATTCAAGTATTTTTTGGGGCTTTTATTGCCTTATTATAGTGACAGCTGAAGA